CAAAAGATTTCTATTTCAGATAAATAGTGTTCATATCGATATCGGAATTATATCGTATCGACCGAAATTAAGAAATATATTGTGATATCAATTTTGGCCATATCGTCCAGCCCTATTCTGACGGCACCCATTCACTGCAGAGCATCCATTAGTGAGACACTGATGCAATGCTGCATTTCTCCAAATCTGATGAAGAAAAACTACATCCTGGATAACTTGAGAGTGAGCACATTTTCTGCACATTTTCAGTTTTGGGTGAACTATTTCTTAAAGGGGTCATATGATGCGATTTCATTTTTTCCTTTCTCTTCGGAGTGTTACAAGCTCTTGGTGCATAAAGAAGATCTGTAAAGTTGCAAAGACTAAAGTCTCTAAATTCTGTCATCATGTGCATATGATCTTCTGGTCTTCTGTGGAACAAACGTTGACTGAATTGTCGTATGGTTTATTCTTTTAACATCCGTCTCTCTCTCTCTTCTTCAGGATGTTATCTCCATGTTGGATCAAACCGGCAGCTTCAGCAACGATGATTTCGTCGAGATGCCCATGTTTCCTCCTTTCCCCGAGTGATCCCGCTTCACTCCCTGTTGCGCTCTCACGCGCCATTTCTTACTCTCTTAACCAAATCGATGGCAGAGCGGAGGCACAGAGGGATATAAAACAAGAGTGAGACTGATGCATTGTGAGAATGGAAGTTATAAGCCATAATGTGAGGATACAGAGTAGTGCACAGACAGACAGGCATCGTTGAAATGTGTTCACTTTAAAATCACGCACAATTGCACACTTCGAGCACAAGAGGTCTCACACTGTCTGCCATACACGCACATGCTTTGATTAATGAGATGGCCACACACACACACACACACACACACACTCACTCACTCACACACACACTTTCACACACACTCATACACACGCACGCACACACACTCTCTCTCACACACTCACACACACTCACTCATACACACGCACGCACACTCTCACACACGCACACACTCACACACACTCTCACACACACACACACACTCTCACACACACACACACACACACACACAAAGGCAGTCTGCTCTGTCTGTGTACCGATTGCACTGCTTCTGACCCCGGTGATGAAATGTGTGAGAACTGAATTCTTGAGTTTGGCCTCAGAAAGTTGCTGTGAATGTGTCGGTCAGGTTTATTGTTGTCTGTAACGCAGAAGCTGCAGCTTGTTTTCTTTTTTTATTGGAGAATCGACTCCATTTCCATTCATAACTTGTCATTTGAATCTGATTGTAATTGAATTGGCTCAACAGGATGTTGAATTTGAAAGACAGGAAGAGGAATTCCAAATTTACTGAATTGGAATTTTTCATTTGAAATGAACGATGATGCTCGACATCATCTAATGTAATTCATACTTCAACTGTTTTTAAAAACTACTTTGAAATTTCATTCCATTTCAAATGTTAGTAACACTTTATTTTACAGTGTCCTTGTTACACATCACATGTACTTACTGTAGTAAATCATGCATAATAACATGCAGTTAACCCTAACATTAACCCTGATTATTCCTCAGTACTTAAATGCAATTACACTGTAAGAAGGACTGCTTAAAATGAAGTGTAACCTTGCTTTCTTAATCTATTCTGCCTCCTGTTTGCTAGCTCAGTTCAAAGTCAGATGTTTAACTATCTGGCTTGGGTTCATGTTGGTGCAGTAACACTGATGCAGTAAAACTCCTCGGGTGTTTTCTCCGATCGATTCTGTTTCAATGGACAGATGCATCTCCTCTGACGTGTGCCGCTGATGAGGTTTCACTCAGGCATGTGTTTGTGAACGCAATGAAAAAGATTCAAATCAAGCAGGATCTGTGTCCTTCAAAGCCATTTTGTCGCTATCCTAATTATTATCATAATGTCTTGTTTTAATGTAAAAAGAAGAATCCTTATTCTGATTTAGTCTTGTACAGAGAATATTCCCGAACTTCTATTGGCGGGGTTGATTATTGTTAATTTTCTTTAAGCTTTTTAATTAAATGTTTGATGTTTGCTTTTGAATGTGGGTGTGTCTGCGTCTTTTTTCAGTACTTTTGTGCATTTGTCGCTTTTTTTCCTCGGATATGAAAGGGTCAGTGTTTTTTTATTTCTTCTATATTTTCACACCGTTTTGAACTGCAGTTTGTGTACAACATAGAAAAATAAATATGTATATGAAATATTAAAGAGAACTGTTTTTTGTATTAAATTGCTATTGTCAAAAAAAAAAAAATCTTTGTTGGGATCTTTATTTGAACTGTGGACACTCTTTGACAAATCTATTAATACAGTATATCCAGTGTACAGTACATTACCTTTCAGTTAGCCATTTTATAATCCATGATAACAAAAGCAAAATGCAACTGAATTTTTAAATGTACATTTTATCAAGGGTTTGGATTCAGTATTTTTTCTTGTATTCAGCAAGAATGTATTAGATTGATCAAAAGTGACAGTAAAGACATTTGTAATGTTACAAACGTTAAGACGTGGCTCCAAAAGGCAGCAACAAAGGAAGAGACTAAAAAGCTAGAGAAGCCAGGTGTAGGCCTATGTGATGAAATCACTCGGTTGTCCCACACACTGAAAAAAAAATACTACATTTTTTGCATTTATTTTAGCTACATTTAAATAAAAGAAAAAAAAAATGTTGAAAGTTAGTCAGCTAAATTTGTTTATTTAAATGTAGCTAAAATGAATTGATTGCAACAACTTAACCTTCAAAAAAATCTAATAAATTCAATGAATCATTTTTTTTTTTCAGTGCAATGTTGATTCACCCTTAAAACTAAAGCTTCTTTATCGGCATCGATGGTTCCATGAAGAACCTTAGACATCTATGGAAACTTTCCGTTCTGTTCTTCAAAATGGAAAAAGAAATGTTCTTCACACAAAGAAAAAAAATGGTTCTGTTAAGATTCTAATTTCTTTGGGGAACCAAAAATGGAAACTTTTTTTTTTTTAAGAGCGTAGTTCATGGGTCAGTCCTTGTAGGTTTTCAGTTTCCAGCTCCATCACCATCTGAGCTTCATCAATCTGTGTCCCGATCCATCGCTCTGAGATCTGATCATTCTCAGCTGGTAACACATGAAGTGGCCTCTAGTGTTTCTCAAGCAACCTAAAAGGGGGGTTTTAAGCCATATAAGGCCTGATTGTTACCAAACTCCTGTTTAACTATTCATCGTGGACACAGGTGCCAAGTGTTGGTGTGTATGTCTCTCAGGCCAAAGGAAGACATGCTAATACCCGAGATAAGAGCACATGTATCCCTGACCGACGACTGCAGGCTGAGCCAGTGCCAGGATCAAGGTATCTCTTCCAAACGTCTTCATTTTGCATCGGTTGAGAATGAAAAGTCGAGGTCAGAATCAATTGCGTGCAGTTCAGCAGCTCAGTTTAGTTTCAAATGCACATTATGAGTCTCAAACCGATGAAGAGCGGAGCTTCACGTGAGTGCTGGAATGTGAGACTCGTCTGATACAGAGCTGTTTTACACCGACAGAAGCACAACACCGGCGACTAGGGTTGCTGTTTGACAAGAACAACTGGGGATTTAAGGGAAGAAGTGACGTTTGGACAATGCCATGAGCAAATCCAGCTCATATCTTGGACGTTTACCACTGTATATCATGTGTTTGTCACTCACTAATAGAGTTGATTCCTCCAGTCTTCAGTAATCATGGACCAGCCTCTTCCAATGTCTCAATTGGACGTTGATGTGGATTTGGGCTTCGCTCTCTTCTTCTTGGTCCTGCTGTGTTTGTTTCTGTTGGTTACAATGGTTCGCTGTGCTCAGATGGTTCTGGATCCGTACAGCGCCATCTCTGTGTCCACCTATCAGGAGGAGCAAGAGCAAGAGGAGGGGTGAAGTTTAAAGCAGGCGGACCATTGGAGAAGCATTGGATTGTAGAAGAACTTTAAAACAGATGCTTCTGGAAATACTCCGAGAACACACGTGGAAACGCATCTACACTTTCTCTAACCCTCGTTGTGTGGAGACTCTTGGATTTCATTGGAACTCATCCGGGAAAAGGGATCTGAGTGTCATTATGAGCTCTCATTACCACCGGGAATCATCGAGTGCAAATAAATCAGCAAAACTGCGTGTGGATGTGAGAAATCTGATGTGGCTGGATGAGAGTGTCCTACAGAGGGGAGCAACAGAATAAATGTCGTGTCTCACTGAATATTCAGGCTTCTATTTTTGGTTCAGTGAGTCTTAACTGTATTAACTATAGTGCAGTGAAACTCAAAACCACAGGAAGGATGCAGTTACACTTTTACAGCTGATCACATGGCAATGTTCAAAATGTGAGCTTTACGCAATGCCATGATATAGTTTGATTCTGAACATCTGAAATGCTTTGAATAGGGTTTGAATAATCGTTCTTTTTTTTTTTATATCTACATTACATTTATTCATTTGGCAGACACTTCAAAGCGACTTACAAAAGAGATTTTAATTAGTTGGTTGTGCATGCATTAATTTATGCGTGCTGATTAACAGTTAAATAATAAATTGTGGTTTTATTGTAAAAAACAGTATGTTGATGTTTTTTCTTTTTCTTTTGGAGATATATAACTTTTTTTCTTTAATACAAATTAAAATACAGGCATTAAATATGGTCAATAGTTGACTGGACACTTTGTAAACTATTGCATACATTGCTAGCTGTTAATATGTACACACACACACACACAGACACAAACACAAACACACACACACACATGTCTGGTCAGCTATCCTTATGGGGACTCTCCATAGGTGTAATGGTTTTTATACTGTACAGACCGTATATTCTATTGCCCTACACCAACCCTACCCCTAAACCTACCCCTCACAGGAAACTTTCTGCATTTTTAGATTTTCAAAAAACTACATTCTGTGTGATTTATTAGCTTGTTTACCCGTGGGGACCTCAATTTAGGTCCCCACCATGACACGAGTCCCCATGAGTCTGTGTGTATTCAGGTTTAAGTCCCCACCAGAATAGAAAAACAGGTACACAAATTACACACACACATATACACACACACACACCTTTGATACTCTCTCACATAAGATACTTCTCGACAGGTTAGCTTCTATTGGGATTACTGGCACTCCTCTGTCTTGGTTTAGGTCGTATCTTTCTGGACCTTCTGAACTGTCTGTCCGAAACAAGAATTTAGAATTTAATTTGAAAAATAAATTTAAAATGATATATATATATAGCACTTTTATTCTGAAAAACGTGTCATGGCTGCAGTACGTACACATGGATAACACTGAAATCGTTAGATTCATCTAGAGGATTTCAAAAGTTTTAAATTATATAACATCCATCTGTCGTTTGAAAGCACTTTTTCGTTTTCAGCGCGGATTCGCTGAAGGTAAAGTGTGCTTGTAAAGACTGAATTGATGTAATGTCAGTGTGCTCGCGACTGAAGGTCATGGTTAAGCTGGTTTATCATTGATGGAGATGCTTTGTAATCTCTCTGCAGCATGTCTGTGTTTGGAGGAGTGTTCCGTCAATCCTCGGCTCGACTCTTCAGCACAGGTGTGTGTGATGCTCTCTATCTCTGCTGTAATGTGTGGAAGTGAGTAAAGTGTTGTTGCTGTATCACGCAGGCACGTGCGCTAGAACACGAATGCACGCGATCCCCAAACTGAGACAGCTGGACCGATGGACGGAGAAGAGAAGCGTGTTTGGAGTCTATGACAACATCGGGATCTTGGGTGAGCAAACATATATTCAAGTTCCTGCTATTTGTTAAATAATTCTCATCTTTGTATTTCAGTAGAGAATGTATTTGGGTTTCTTACATTTGTTTTCAGTGCTGCAGCAGACTATGAGTTGAGCTTCAAAAACAACCTGGGACAATTTTTTTTTAACTGAACTCAGTAGATAATGAAATTGAATTCTAATTCTCCTTAGATGGTTTAGAAGAGCAGTCTCGTTAATATGCATTTCATATTACAGTGTTTGACAAGCTACAATAAAGGTGTTCTTTTCTTTTTCTTTTCATATGCTGTTTTTGGTGTATTGCATGTGAGTCAGTTTGTCTCAACACAAAAGTTGTAAGAAAATTTGTGCAGCCTGCATATTTGTGTCAAAACTTTGCATGCACATTCATTACCCTAAATGAGAAATATTAAAAAATAAACAGTTTAACCAGTATTTCAAGCAGTTTGAAAAGTGAATGCAGGTCAAACTGAACCTGACACTACAGGAAGGTTTTTACTAACCCTCATTGAGTAATCATGCACTACTGTAATAAAAGCCTGCTGTAGGAACCCTGCATCTCATTATCTTTCATCATTTTGCCAGTATTCATATTTTTGCTCTCAAATCAATTAGTGACAAAATATGAACATATAGTAAAGATACAGTAAAATTTAAGACTTTTTTTTTACTAAATGAACACTTTTATATGCATGCACCAAAATAAAAATGTATTTGATATTAACTTGTGTGTACAATGCCTCACAGAAAGTTCCATGAACACGATGCAAACAAACAAATCGTTGTATTTTGAACGGATTCATTCTGACTCATTAAAATGAATCGCTCCTTCCGGTTCTAATGGATCTCAACTGGGGTTTAAATGAGAGATTTAAACTCTTAAAACTGGAAATCATGACAAGTCTTTAGGAAATATAATGGACAGATATTTCCTCACAATGTTCATATCACCAGCAATTAATTTTCTAAGTCTTCTGTCAGCACTAGGCTGTATGGTACATTGATCAGCATTGACTCTGTTTGACTGCAGGAGATTTTAAAGCTCATCCAAAAGACCTGATCCGGGGACCGGTGTGGCTCCGAGGCTTCAGCGGAAACGAGCTCCAGCGGCTCATCAGGAAGAAGCGGATGGTGGGAGAGCGAATGCTGACCGAGGACAAGCACAGCCTGGATAAGAGGATCAGCTTCCTGTACCGCCGCTTCAACAGATACGGCAAACACCGATAGACTTCCGCCTTCATTTGTCCTGAAGTGGAATTCAATTTGTGGAAAAAAATAATAAAAAAAATGCAGTTCCATTCATTAAACTGTCAAAATTCCTTAATGTCATCATCATTACAAAAGATTGACCTCGAATGCTGAAGAGTTGCATTAAAAACATTTATTTAAAAAATGCATAATTTTGCAACAAAAAAATTCTTATTGATTCCTGAAAGACAGTTGAGTGATTTCCCACATGCTAATGAGCCTCAGTGTGCTCGTCTGGTCTGGGATCAGCGAGGACTGAAGAATCCTGTGCCGTGACCGGATGCTCCGACTCCATCTGACAGGAACAACCAGAACACACACACTTTACATCAAGCGTCACTATTGCTGCTGCTTATCATTTTGCCAGGTGCAGTGTTGGGGAGTAACTAGTTACATGTAACGGAATTACGTAATTTAATTACAAAATAAAAGTAATTGTAATCAGTTACAGTTACTAAGAAAAACTTTGTAATTAAATTACAGTTACTTATGAAAATGTTAAGGATTACAAAGGGGGTTACATCTGATTTTTTCACACACACTCCCACATACAGATTTAATTGAGTTCTTCCATAAATTGCAGTGACTGCTCTAAAATATGAAACACCAACGTTTCAGGAGTTTAGAACATGCTTATTCGATAACTGTAAGGTGGTTGTGTCCACACACTGCTAAGACACATTTCTATGCAAATGAAGATATTTTGCATCCAATGTCTTCTTTAAAATTAAAATATTGTAATCTTTATTCAACTGATAACTGTCAGACTTCAATTTATTTCGAAAGTCTGACAGTTATCAGTGTTGAGCACATATTGTAAGTTTAACCCTGCCGGGTTTACATGTTTAAAAATGATTAATAGTTGAAACCATTAGAAATTTAGAAAAGTAATCAAATGTAATCAGTTACGTTACTTTAATAAAGTAATTGAAAAGTTACACTACTTGTTACATTTTAAGTAGGGTAACTTGTAATCTGTAACCTATTACATTTCCAAAGTAACCTTCCCAACACTGGCGAGGTGTGATGTTTGAAATAGTAAGAGTTATTGGAGATGTGCACATGTCTACAGACACGAACGTGCATGAAAATAAACAAGTCCTTTTCTTGGTGGAATATAGTTTTATACATTAATGGGTCATCGGTCACTGACACTACTGTTTGGGGTCAGTAAGATTTTTTTTTTTTTTTTAAGAAATTAATACTTTTATTCAGCAAAGTCGAGACATTTATAACGTTGCAAAATATTTCTATTTCAAATAAATGCGGTTCTTTTGAACTTTCTATTCAGCTGTGAATCCTGAAAAATAAAATGTATCGCAGTTTCCACAAAAATATGAATGTCTTCAACACTGATAATAATCAGAAATGTTTCTTGAGCAGCAAATCAGCATATTAGAATGATTTCTGAAGATAATGTGACACTGAAGACTGGAGTAATGATGCTGAAAATACAGCTTTGATCACAGAAATAAATTACAGTTTAACAGAGATTCACATAGAAAACACTTGTTTTTAATTGCAACAATATTTCGTTTTGTTACTGTGTTTTTGATCAAATGAATGCAGCCTTGGTGAACAGAAGAGACTTCTTTCAAAAACAATCTAAATGTTTGGTCAGTAATTACTGCATGCGTCACGGGTTTCTATTCTTTAAACAGATGTCGTGGGGGTCTCATACCTGTGCGTCTCGCTTTCGGTCCTTTGGGACCCGGTGCCTCTTTTTCTTTGGTCCAGCTGCTGACTGATGAGGAAACGTTGGAGAAGAGCTGTCTTCATCAGCACCCACAGCTGAATCTAAACCTGCCTTCCCTTCATCCTGTATGAACACATCGAGTGTTTAATGTGCCATCAGCCACTGATATGAACTACACTCTTGGAACAAATAGATTCATTACTATTGAAGATCAGAATTGGGTGTGAACAGCTGTATGTCAAACAGTTTAAATGAAGCTTGAGTTGTGTATCATCAGCGTGTTTCTCACCTCCAGTGTGATGGTGAGCTGTGCTGTCCTGTAATCATCTCCATACGAGTCCAGAGTCTTCATCAGAAACCTGACACACACACACACACACACACATTCAGCTGTTAGACGCACTGTATCAAATGAGAGGTTCACTGTATACTTTACAGTATTAGTTGGGTTTTTATGTAAATTGATGTGTACCTGAAATATATATATATATATATATACATATATAAAAAAAAATACAAATGCATTTTTGGTTATTATCAGTACTAGCCATTGTTGGGTTTAATTTGTAGGTGGCAAAGATATTGTTAGATTAATCAAAAAAATGATTTAAGGAATAGTTCACCCAAAAATTAAAAATAGCTGAAAATGTGCTCTCCCTCAGGCCATCTGAGATTAGGATGAGTTTGTTTCTTCATCAGATTTGGAGAAATGTAGCAGATGCCCTGAGGGTGAGCACATTTACAGCTATTTTTCATTTTTGGGTGAACTATTTCTTAAAACAATAGAAAAATGAATCATCAGTAGCAGTCATAGTTATGACTCTTACTCAGTTGATGCTTTTGAGTGTTTTTATGTGCACATACTTTCTTTCTTTCCTTAGTCGTCGTGTCAGTCTCTGCACCTGGTGAAGGCGTCCCAAAATCTTCTCATTTACCTGAGAACGGGTTCATATGACATTTGGTCACGAAACCTTCCCAGACATCATTTGCCCATCTTCATGCTGTGCTAAAACTGTGCTTATTTTTTCCATGGAACACAAAATGTGAAGTTTTGAAGAATATCCTGACCACTCTTTTCCCATTTCAGATTCAAAAACTGAGCTTTTTTGAACATGAGTGACGGTGAACTTCATTTTGTGGGGTCAGCCGTTCCTCTACACTACAGTTCAGTGTAAATCTGTTCACCTGCTCAATCTCTCTGCACCTCTTGCTGAGAGCGTGATACTTGCTGTGGTCCAGCTCTCTCCTCTCATCTTCTCCGTCCTGTGCGGGGCCCGACGGGGCCCCATCGCTATCCAGGAGCTCAGTGCCGCTGGGGCCCAGCTCCACGCCGCCCGTCTCCAGCTCCGCTTCCAGAATGTGACCCCCGAACAGCGGAGGAAGAGCCAGACCTGAGAAATCCTCCATCATCTGAAGCACATCCACAGACAGACAGAAGCTCTGAGTTAATATAACAGCATATCCCGCGACTGGTTTACAGATAAAGATGTTAATAATCTTACTGATTAAACACAAACTAAGCATGCTCTCTATGAACTCACATGGAGCGTTTCTGTTCTGCAATATCAATATGATTATGAATATGCTAATACGATTTACATGCCATTTTTAACCGTTTTAATTATTTGTATTCAATACTTACCTTTGGTTAATAATACTGCAAAGAGCCATACATGATTCAGTCAGTTAATTATAAATCCTGCAGGTATGTTTTCTACTCCTCATCAGTTCCGTCTATACATAATTTAAACGATACATCTGACAAAAGCAAGAATTAGCCTGCTTCATATGATCAAATAAAAGTAAACATCTACATGTTCATCTCCTACACTACAGCCTTCGAAACAACGAGACGCGTTTTAAACACGTCATTGACCGTTCAGCCAATCCACAGCGAATGCGTCACCAGCATTTGTTATCGAACTACAATTCCCACGATACCTGAAACAGGACTACAGAAGCAAACATGGCGGCCGGTAAGTATATTTTTGCGTGTTAGCTGCTTGAAAGATGTTTTATTTTAGTTTGGCTTGATCGTATTTACAAAAATAGAATCAACAGGCAGTTCATGAGAGCTATTGCAATCTATTCGTGTACTAAAAATAATTATTGTATGATGTGCGGATAAGAGAATGACCTTGGTCTCATACTAGCTGTGGTTTGCTGTGCTCTGCTTTAAACATGAATAAATGATAACTCATCGGAGGCCTTTAAACGCTTAACAAAATTATGGCAGAATCTACCATGGCTTGTTTTCGACGTGTACCATGGTATTCTATGAATACATGGCAATAATTCAGCACTACTGTGAAATATTATCAAGAACCATGGTATTATCATATGATACCATCATTAGGGTTAGGGTTAGGTTAGGCGTGACAGTTTAGTTAAACACTGTAATCAAACTCTTTGTTTCTCTAGTTGGCAGGTTTTTGAAGAACGCTTGGAATAAAGAGCCAGTGATCACAGTTTCCTGTGGGATCGGATTGCTGGGTGACTGAGATATTAATGCATCACATTATGGGTCTAAATCTTCCTGCTTTATGAATCTAACATGTTTTTATTCATTTATTGTGTTTCAGCTTGCCTTCTGCCGGCTTTGAGCCCTTTAACAAAATACACAGGAATGATGAACCGAGCTATTCCATACAATTATCCAGGTATATTATCCTCATGCAGTGTGTAAACGCTTGACACCAGGGTTATTGGGGTGTTTCTTCGATTAGGGGAATATTTTGCGATACTTGATTTTTGACTTTCATGAGCTGTGAGCGCTAATCATAAAAATTAAAACAAAAAACCTTTTGAAATGTTTTACTTTACATGTAAAGAATGTATGAAATTTTCACTTTTTGAAATAAGTTACAAAAAAAAAGAACTTTTTCACGATATTCTAATTTTTTGAGATGCACCTGTATATATATATACATACCCACACAGACACATACTCTCACTCACACGCACACACTCTCTCACACACACACACACACATACTCAGTCACGCGCACACACTAACACACTCACACACACACACATACTCAGTCACGCGCACACACTAACACACTCACACACACACACATACTCAGTCACGCGCACACACTAACACACTCACACACACACACATACTCAGTCACGCGCACACACTAACACACTCACACACACACACATACTCAGTCACGCGCACACACTAACACACTCACACACACACACATACTCAGTCACGCGCACACACTAACACACTCACACACACACACATACTCAGTCACGCGCACACACTAACACACTCACACACACACACATACTCAGTCACGCGCACACACTAACACACTCACACACACACACATACTCAGTCACGCGCACACACTAACACACTCACACACACACACATACTCAGTCACGCGCACACACTAACACACTCACACACACACACATACTCAGTCACGCGCACACACTAACACACTCACACACACACACATACTCAGTCACGCGCACACACTAACACACTCACACACACACACATACTCAGTCACGCGCACACACTAACACACTCACACACACACACATACTCAGTCACGCGCACACACTAACACACTCACACACACACACATACTCAGTCACGCGCACACACTAACACACTCACACACACACACATACTCAGTCACGCGCACACACTAACACACTCACACACACACACATACTCAGTCACGCGCACACACTAACACACTCACACACACACACATACTCAGTCACGCGCACACACTAACACACTCACACACACACACATACTCAGTCACGCGCACACACTAACACACTCACACACACACACATACTCAGTCACGCGCACACACTAACACACTCACACACACACACATACTCAGTCACGCGCACACACTAACACACTCACACACACACACATACTCAGTCACGCGCACACACTAACACACTCACACACACACACATACTCAGTCACGCGCACACACTAACACACTCACACACACACACATACTCAGTCACGCGCACACACTAACACACTCACACACACACACATACTCAGTCACGCGCACACACTAACACACTCACACACACACACATACTCAGTCACGCGCACACACTAACACACTCACACACACACACATACTCAGTCACGCGCACACACTAACACACTCACACACACACACATACTCAGTCACGCGCACACACTAACACACTCACACACACACACATACTCAGTCACGCGCACACACTAACACACTCACACACACACACATACTCAGTCACGCGCACACACTAACACACTCACACACACACACATACTCAGTCACGCGCACACACTAACACACTCACACACACACACATACTCAGTCACGCGCACACACTAACACACTCACACACACACACATACTCAGTCACGCGCACACACTAACACACTCACACACACACACATACTCAGTCACGCGCACACACTAACACACTCACACACACACACATACTCAGTCACGCGCACACACTAACACACTCACACACACACACATACTCAGTCACGCGCACACACTAACACACTCACACACACACACATACTCAGTCACGCGCACACACTAACACACTCACACACACACACATACTCAGTCACGCGCACACACTAACACACTCACACACACACACATACTCAGTCACGCGCACACACTAACACACTCACACACACACACATACTCAGTCACGCGCACACACTAACACACTCACACACACACACATACTCAGTCACGCGCACACACTAACACACTCACACACACACACATACTCAGTCACGCGCACACACTAACACACTCACACACACACACATACTCAGTCACGCGCACACACTAACACACTCACACACACACACATACTCAGTCACGCGCACACACTAACACACTCACACACACACACATACTCAGTCACGCGCACACACTAACACACTCACACACACACACATACTCAGTCACGCGCACACACTAACACACTCACACACACACACATACTCAGTCACGCGCACACACTAACACACTCACACACACACACATACTCAGTCACGCGCACACACTAACACACTCACACACACACACATACTCAGTCACGCGCACACACTAACACACTCACACACACACACATACTCAGTCACGCGCACACACTAACACACTCACACACACACACATACTCAGTCACGCGCACACACTAACACACTCACACACACACACATACTCAGTCACGCGCACACACTAACACACTCACACACACACACATACTCAGTCACGCGCACACACTAACACACTCACACACACACACATACTCAGTCACGCGCACACACTAACACACTCACACACACACACATACTCAGTCACGCGCACACACTAACACACTCACACACACACACATACTCAGTCACGCGCACACACTAACACACTCACACACACACACATACTCAGTCACGCGCACACACTAACACACTCACACACACACACATACTCAGTCACGCGCACACACTAACACACTCACACACACACACATACTCAGTCACGCGCACACACTAACACACTCACACACACACACATACTCAGTCACGCGCACACACTAACACACTCACACACACACACATACTCAGTCACGCGCACACACTAACACACTCACACACACACACATACTCAGTCACGCGCACACACTAACACACTCACACACACACACATACTCAGTCACGCGCACACACTAACACACTCACACACACACACATACTCAGTCACGCGCACACACTAACACACTCACACACACACACATACTCAGTCACGCGCACACACTAACACACTCACACACACACACATACTCAGTCACGCGCACACACTAACACACTCACACACACACACATACTCAGTCACACACACACACACGCACACACACTCACTCACACACTCACACGCACACACTCACACACACACATACTCAGTCACACGCACACTCACTCACACGCACACACTCACACATACACACACACTCACTCACTCACACACACTAATCATAAAAATTTAAACAAAAAGCCTTTTGAAATATTTTAAGTTACAAAAAAAAAGAACTTGTTCACGATATTCTAATTTTTTTAGATGCACTTGTGTATTTATATATATATATATCTCTTTGAGATACTATTAGTTTTTATTATTTTGAATTTTCATTTTTATATTTTCATTTTAATTTAAAGTTATTTTAAAGTAATGTTTTGTTTTTTTATATATACATGTGTATATATAGTTTTTATTAATTTTATTTCAGTTGTAGTTATTTTAGTACATAAATTTAAACTAAATTAAAATATGTTGCTTTGGAAGCTATCTGAAAGAAAAGGTTTTGTATATTTAATTTCTGTGAACATTTATTCTATTTCAAGTATCAAAAAAAAAATTTTTTTTGTGTGGTTTTTAGTTTCAGATTTAGTTTTAGTTAGCTGAAATGACCCTGATTTTTATTATTACATTTACTGATTTATTTATTCATTCTCAGATGTTTATATTGAAAGGCTTGAGCTCAGTGCATTTAATCTCATCATGAATCTGTAATTAGTTTTAGTTGATCTTTTGAATCACGTTTCTCTCTTCAGTCCCAGTTCGAGATGATGGAAACATGCCAGACGTTCCAGCGCATCCCTCGGACCCGCAGGGGAAGAACCTGGATTGGCTGAAAAACCTGTGAAAGCCCTTCAGAGTCATGTACAGTCACACTCACCTTTACTTATGTCTCAATAAAAGCCCTTTATTTAATTACCCTATATATATTGTATTGATATTGTAGATTATTTTAGTCTTTCACAAAATAGACTTGCTTTATCAGTAATAAACACCATATCTTTTATTCTGCTACAGTTTTGTAACATTCATGGGCTTTTATCATAATAGTTTGTGTATAGAGAGTGAAACAAGTCCAAACCACAGAGATTAACTTTGTTTATTGAAGTTCATTTAAAAAACAAAGGGAAGAAAGGCTATAAAGTTATCATGAAGTGAAAGCGTTCAAGAGTCCAAAATGTGTGAGTGAGAGCACAATGCTTTTATATCAGGCTGAGTCGTACAGTAAAGTCCTGCTTTAAATGCCAGTGTTCGCTGTTCTCTGGGGTGTTTAATAAAAGTACAGTGTGAGCAGGGATCAAAGTTAAACTCACAAACTAATACAGACTAACATGCAGCGGCGTCCAAAAGTCTGAGATGCTTTTCATTTCAACTCGGAAACACAGTCTAGGATTTAAATGAATTTAATATAAAGAAATGAGCATTAATCAAGTGTACAGGTGCATCTCAAAAAATTAGAATATCATGGAAAAGTTCTTTATTTTTTGTTATTTAATTCAAAAAAGCCAACTTTCTCATATTCTAGATTCATTGCACACAAACTGAAATATTTCAAGAGTTTTTTTAATTCTTTTTTTTATTCTGATGGTTATGACTTACAGCTTAGGACATTTAAAATAAAACAAAAAATAATAACTTTTCCGTGATTTCTTTGTAATTTGTTGAGATGCGCCTGTAAATGAGTGTTTTTGAGCATTCTTGCATCCACTCAAGCTCAAGATGCTCTTGATCATCTCAGATGATGACGAGAACATGATCAAATATCAAATTCATGTTGTTATCAAATTCAATGTAATTATGATACTTTATGAAAAAAAAAATTCTTTTAATTACAGTATACCATTATGTTTGCATATATAAGGTTGGAGATTAACCTTTTAGCATTATTCAACTTAAGATATCTTTATAATAGAAAAAGTTAATAAATGAAGGTATCAGAACAAACTGACCCAGGAGTGGAGAAATAATTCGAACATTTGTGAACAAAGGTCTCACCATTAATAATTGGTTAGATTGGTTTCAGTGTAAAACCTCACAACGATAAGCAACTTTTAAGACAATTCAGAAACAATTTAACTTACAGTAACACACAAACTCAAAAGTAAATGAATCATATTCTTTTTGGTTAATTTCGAATACATCGTTAAGTCTTCTCTGTCCCAAAATAATGGTGAAAAAGGGTCAGAAAGACGCTTATTTCTCATCTATCTGTCACGTCCTCCAGCACGTCTACACTTTCCAGACCTTCTGTCACGTCTCTGCGCGGTCTCAAGCTTTAGTTTTAGAGATCTGGGGTTTAACAAAACACATAAGAGCAGACGGAAGGGAGACCAGAGACCAGAGCGAGAGCCTCTTCACGTCACACTTTCACAAACACAATGCTTTTCCAAAATCCTTTCCAACTCTCTCAAAGCCTTTCTATATATAACTACACTCCATTTTCCTGCTTTTGACTCCAACAGTCCCTTCACCTGCTTCTCCCAGAATGCTCTAGGATACCTTGTCTTTATTCAATATTTTAAAAAATAAAAGTTTTAGGAGAAAGTATCTTATTCTGTGTGGGAAGTACACTCAGGAACAATTCACCCAAAAATGATAGATAGCATGTGGAATGACACGAGTGAGTAAATAACCACAGAATTTAGAATATTTCATGAAACTAAATTGTGAATCGTCTCCACAAATATCAGATATACCAAAAACATCTACGTTTTGTCAAACTGACTTTTTTGAGAATTGACTGTTTCATTGTAGACATTACAGTAAAGGAGTTAAAATACTGAAGAAACTGTTGTCCATAACATGGAATTAAATGTTAAAGGTCAGTGCACTCATACATAAAGACCTTGGAATATTTAATTTTTTCTGATAATGTAATATATATAGAATATACATTTGATCTGCTAAATCCTAAATGATCTAAATGCACTTAATTCTCTCAAAGGTGTAAACTCTGCCTCTCAGAGTTTGGGTTATTCATGAAGCATTCACAGGAGCATCTCTGGCTGTCAATCAAAGGCTCTGCTGTATCAGAGGGGCGGAGCGATCATTGGTCACTGTCTTCTTGAGGCGAATATGAGCGAACGGGTTGATCCTGTGAAGAGGGGACGGTTAAATGAACTAACCCATCAGACACGGAGAGCTCTTCTGAACACAGGGGACTAGCTTTACCTGCTGGGTGACGGAGGCGTCGAGGTGAAATCAGTCGACGTCTGAGGAACACGAAAACACGTCAGCGTCAGCAGAATATAAAACAATACATTCTAAATCCTTGCATGATTTAGTCAGAAAGAGAAATAAGTGAACATTTACAATGAAAAAAAATGTTATATGTGACCCTAGAGCACAAAACCAGTCTTAAGTCTCTGGGGTATATTTGTAGCAATAGCCAACAATACATTGTATGGGTAAAAATTATACATTTTTCTTTTATGCCAAAAATCATTAGGATATTAAGTAAAGATTAATGTTCCATGCAGATATTTTGTACAATCTTGAGACACTACAGCCAAAACCACTGGGGTTTCATGCACTGCTCAGTTTTGAGATTTTGGTCTATTTTGCTTCCATAACTTGTCTTTATTCAGATTATTGAAACTAAACATCCAAAATACACATTTAAAAGGCATAGTTCATCCAAAAATCAGTTGCTCAAAATCTGTATGAATTTCTTTCAGCTGTTGGAACAGTTGACGGTAGCCATTGACTTCCATAGTATGGAAAAAAATAAAAAAAATCTATGGAAGTCAATGGCTACCGTTAACAGTTTGGTTTCCATCATTCTTCAAAATATATTATTTTGTGCTAAAAAAGAAATACAAAATTCCCTATATGAAAACCATTAACTCTAGATATCAACAAAATCAAAAATTTTTTATTTAATGTTCAGATTTATGTTCTGGAACTGTATGCAAATTGGTGCGTTGTTTAATTCACTAGTATCTCAACTGCATATATTAACGTAACATTTTAGAAAATCTGCAATACAAAAAAAAGTAGGCTACCTAATGTACTCTTTTTTTTTTTTTTTTTTTTACCCTTTTCACCGTTTAAAAAAAAAAAAAGGAATTTCCCATTCACTGCAGAGCATCCATTGCTGAGACACTGATGCAATGCTGCATTTCTACAAATCTGATGAAGAAACAAACTCATCCTAATCTCAGATGGCCTGAAGGTGAGCACATTTGCAGCTATTTTTCATTTCATTCAAAAAGCAATACAGTCACAGTGAAGGTGGTTTCTCTGACCCTCATCCTGCTGGTCTCGGGGTTCATCATGCTGTAGGGTCGCGGTCTGAAGGTGCTGATGCGCTGGGACAAGACGCTCCTCTCGTCCTCAGAGTCAGGACTGACCTGCAGCATCTGACCCGCGGGGGGAAGCCTGTCTAACTGCCCCATACTGCTGCTGTTCACCTTCGACAGGGCAGGAGGACTGCAGCCGTGACAAGAGACACAGAGAAGAAGAGGGGAGTGATGGGAATGCAAGCCCTTCTGAGACAGCAGCAAGATATTACTGTATGTCATTGGGATGGATCAGACCTGAGCTCTTGTCCGGGAGTGCTGGGGAAAGGCTGTGTGTAGGAGAAGGGAAACCAGCCTTTTCTATGAAGGAGAGTTCAGAACATCAGCATAACAATAAAACGAGCGTCTGAATATCTGAGGCACCATAAACCTAAACAGCAATAAGCTTTTAAAAGGCCTGTTCATACAAGACTGAAAAAAAAAAATTGCTGATGAAGAAAAGTCTGTTCAAACCAGATTAAATTAAATGCACTGCAGTTAATAATATGTAATAATGCACAGAAAAAAAGCCCCTCTGATAATATAGATTGCACTGTATTTCAGACGCATGATCCCAAAGCTCACACTAACTGTACTCTATCTTTCCATCTTCAGCAGCATTGTTGTCATTAACAAACTCTAAACCTGTTAAAAATGTCATTAATTGAAATAAAACAGAAACAAAATAATATAAATATTACAAAAACATTTAACTTATTTTATCTCAGTTAGCTACCCAAGCAACATTTCTAATTTTCATTTGATTTCATTTTAAATTAATATTAATATTTTATTTTAATCTTTTAATCTTAATCTATTTTAATTTTTGGTTTAATTTTATTTATTTTTTTACATTTTAGTTTTAGTCATTTTAGCACTTATTTCAGTTAGTGGCCAAAGCAACATTTCTCGTTTTCATTTAAATGTACTTAAGTTACTGAAATTAAAGTTAAAATAAAAATTCCTAAAAATGTAAAAACATTTTTTAAAAACAAAAGCTAATAAAAACAACAAAATACAACAAAATGGCCAATAAATAAAATATAAATAATCCTTGAAAAAAAAATTAAACCAAAAGAAAATTTGAAATATTGCTTTAGCAACTAACTGTGATTAAAATTAATTTAACTAAAACTAAAATACAAATGAATAAAAACAGTAAAAAAATAAAAAAGTGAGAAAAAAATGTTGGACAAAAAATGTAACTAAAAATAAAATAAAACTGAAAATATAAAAATACAAATAATTTCAGAATATTACTAAATACTATATTAGTATATTAATAATACTAAGATAACACTGATCCTCAGGCATAGTTTTGAAGGGCTTTACTCTTGGTGTGAACAGGCTTTAAACTTGCTTCGAACAAAAGGAAAATCTTGCTTATGCCAAGCCATTGTAAAACAACCATATAAGCCTCGTTCTCAGAACAGGCTCCTCATATTGCTGACAGGATTATTCAGTTCTGCACCACAAAAATGAGGCATAGCTAGTGTTTAACTGGCCCTGACTGAAAGGCTGATGGTCAGATACCGTCCCGTGCGCTCGTTCTGGCCGTAGTGCCAGCCGTCTCTGGGTTCACTGATCAGCAGGGACAGAGCGTCTCCAGGCAGAAAGGACAGCAGACATGAGCTTCCTCCTCGGTCTCCTGGCTTCTCTCCCTCGCAGGAGTCTGGGGAGTGAGGGAACAGAGCCTCCACACGGGACGGAGCACAGAGCGGAAGCACTCGGGGAAGAGTCGAGCCTGAACCATCACAACCATAACATACAGTTAATGGACATAAGGAGAGAGTAATTCTTCACACAACAAATGACTTGCACACTCACACACACACACTCACTCACACTCACACTCACACACACACACACACACTCACTCAACACACGCTCACACACACTCACATGCGCACACGCTCACTCACACACACACTCACTCACTCACATGCGCACACGCTCACTCACACACACACACACACACACTCACTCACTCACATGCTACCCTTGTCATTATACACATGTATGTCCTCATTTGTCACAAAAATGCGCACACTCACACTCACACACACACACACACACACACACACACTC